CAGAGGCTCGGGAACGGTGCCCGGAGCCACAGCCACAATTTTTGTCTTTACAGAGGTTTCATGCAGCTGCGCTCAGGGCCCTGGAGGCCGCAAAGCTGCTCCTGCCCCACTGACGTGAAAAATCATGCTTGAGGGCCACGACTGCATCAGCTCCAGGTATCCAGAGAGCGCCCATACGCTGCCGCTGGCTCACTACAGTTACCTCTTCCCATTTGGTAATGGGCAAGATGCACTACAGAACGTAGGTGCCCTTTAACCACATCTGGAGCCAAAAAATTCAACAAAACTGCAATTTAATTTCAGAAAATGTGTTAAAATATATATATGTATTTATACATCAATTTGACACACTGCATTAGTTTACACAAATGATGGTCTCTCTTGAAACTGTATTTATGAAATGTACATTTTAATTTAAATACTCAGTATACACTGCACTTAATCTGCATGTTGCATTTATTAAATACATTAAAATCTGCAATGTAACAAAACGTTTTCTGCATACGAAATTCAAAACACCATTTTAAATGAACAAAAGATGGCTCACTTCATTTTTTTTTTAAACAACTAGTGCATAGCACACTAGCTCAACTCCACCAACACCAGCTGTTCTTTCTTTTATTTGACATTGTTCACAGACTATTACATATTACAATAAGAGTGCTGGATAAAAACATGAGGTACGAAAGTGGTTCAAAGATTATAGGTCATGCAGATCATGCGAGACAGCAAAGAAAGTTGTGAATGAGAAAATACTAAATAAAAATACATAAAGAATGTGCATTATAAAAAAAACTCAATTACACAGCTTTGCTTCTTTGGTTACAAAGTAGGTTGAACAATTTCACAGCTTTTTATTCCCACCCAAAAAAAAATTATACGAAATGTCAAAAAGCAGAGGAATCATGGCAATTTCTCTCTATTAGAAAGTAGAAACAGAAATGAGCAAAGTTTTCTTCATCAAAATAGCCCATCAATTATTTATTATATCACAATAACTGGTGACTACCTGTACAGATGCACTATGGTCTTCATACTTACACTCTATACAAAATTTACATTCAAGCTGGATCTTTACTACCGTAAATAAATACCAAAGGTAAATTGCCATTAGTGTTAGAAATATGCCAGGATTCTTTTGTTCAATTATTGCCTAAACATTTTATCTATTAAACGCAATCCCGTCTACCATTTTACTGATACATACATTTATTTAAAAAATTAAAAAAGTTCTGTGACATTGTTCATGTACATTATGAAAATAGCAGCCCTGTAATAAATAAAACAAATAAATGAAACTAATGTAGGCAAATGTTTCTTATATCGAAAGAACAGTGGCTCTTTAGATGAATTGTTACTTCTTAGGAGATAGCAAGGCTCCAAGTAATCCATGGGTAATGGAAACCTTGGAGAGCCACCAAAGCTCTTAGGGACCTCACTCCTGCGCACCAAGCAAACGCAATCTTGGCATTAATCACTCCGGCTACCATTTCCCTCGTGCACTGATGACAAAGGACACCGACTGCACCGCGTGACACGTCAGTGAGGGAAAGCTCTTGTAGGATGATTGTCTAATACTGAAAAGGCCAAACACACAACAGAAGCATGGCTACTTGCTTTCATATAAGTGGAAAGAACACCAGTGGCACACAAGGACAGACTGCTCTCAGGGTTTGTTTGTTTTTGTTTTGTTTTAAGTGAGGCAAGAAAGCTTTACGCTGAGGAGACATTCGGCTGCTGTGGAGGTTGCGTTGGCTGCGGAGGCTGTGCTATCACTGCTTGCGCTTGTGAAGTGCTACTAGGATTGGCCTGTTGGGTTGAAAGTTGGGATAACTGATCACTGTTTGAAAGAGATTTTAACAGTGCATTTTCTCGTTCAAGTAAAGAGTTTCTTTCAACTAATTCTTTTATTTGTTCCTTCAGGACTTCCACTTCTTCTCTTACTGCATACATCAAATGGCTTTTGACTAGATCCTGCGAAGAGTAAGTTCACAGTTACACCAAATGAAAGAACGGTTCCATTCCACTCCAACCCCAGGATTTGCTATTTTACTGTTTTCACTGAAATAAGTTGTAAGGCTGGAAAACTAAAGCACTTGTCATTAAAGATGTGACTAAATTAGCCTTCAGAGCAAACCACCTAGCCCTTTAATTCACTATTGACATCCTTTATTTCAAAAGCTCTTGTCTCCAGCATTCAACATTAGCTAAGTTCTAGCGCAGAGCAACTTGAGTATTGCTATACTCATTAAAACAGAGTAAGCAAAAGAAAAAAGAGAAAAGCAACAATTTTAAAGTAACCTGAATGGATGTAGAGCCTTTTAAAGGCCTGTCTTTGTTACACTGCATGCGTTTACAACTCAACAGAAAATTAAGACAATAGAGACTTTTAGGCAGGATTCGATGTTGGGGCTGCAGAAGCCTCTGTTAACTGCTTAAAGGAATCTTTCTACAGTGGCAGATTCTGGATAGGTGGGGTTACAGTACACAAAGCGCGACAAGGCTTCACAAAGATGGCAAGTCACCTCACCTGAACCGAGGACAAAGCCCTAGAATTAGGGTCCAGCTACTTTGAAGGAAAGTATCAGCTCTGAAGTTTTGAGCTGAGGATAGGATTCTCTCTTACAGAATCCCAAGCACTGAAGCGTATGAGAACCAAGAAAGAAGACTAAGTCATCAGAAATGAGATCAAACAAACGTAACTAAAGATGAACTAAACGTAAAGGATGGCATAGCCAAAGTGACAATGAAGACAAATTAGCAGTGAACTTCACTGAAGAGACTTTGGTGTGCTATGAAGGGATGCTGAAAATACAAGTCAATCAGCTTGTTTGCAGCAATTCATAGGATAACTCATTTAAGAGAGAGTCTAGGCCAACAGTGCAACCAAGAAGCTCTTTAGATTAAATGCAAAAACAATCTTGTTGGCTGTCATCCCATAGTTGGAGAAAGTAATTTTTGGTATATGGTATTTGAGATAATGATCTCAGTCTGACCTGACTGAAGGGATATTATAGATGTGCAGAAATACAATGCAGCTGGAAAGTTATGCTCAATGACCAACTGCTCATCCTATTAGAAATAACTTGCCTTCTACTTACCATTGCCTGTTCTATTTTGTTGTCAATGGCAACAACACTTGCACCAGACGCACTGTAAAAAGAAAAAAAAGGAGAAGACTTAATGAGCATTACTCAATCATTTGATTAAATCTGTACACTGACATCCCTAGAGTCCCAAAACATACTTCCACTGAAAGGCTAAAGCTTCAGATGCAAGAATTCAGCACGTGAATCATCTGAATCCTGCTCTGCATCGCCTGGTCCAGTTAGAGCACCTAAGACACAGGGCTCCTTCAGTTTATGAATCGTCCGATTATGCTTAGGACACAGCCAGAAAAGTGCATTAGAATAAAGAGTAAGTTAACTGCTTGATTCTTTGCCTCATTTCTCAGCTTTCTTCACTTGCGAAGACATGGACTCGCAGAATAGATCTGCTGGAACGTTTGTTCTCTGGCTTTTCTGGAAGATCACTTTCCATTAAGAAAAAAATCATTGGATCTGCACTGTATTTACAACTTTGCAACTGAGTGGCAATAGTCAGCAAAAGACTAGAAAACCCATTCAAAGCTCTGGATTTCCACAAGAGCGCATATTCAATTTCAGTGAATTTTAACTGGATCAATGTTTGCCAGTCTTAAAGAAAAAACAGTAGTTGGCTGGTTACATTTATGGGACAGTCTTTTTCCCAAAGACATACTAACGCAGAAGGTTCCATCAAAACATCTTAGCAATCGTCAGTATAAGAAAATAGCTGTTTCCTGCAGGAAACAACGTCGAACTACGTCAGGTAGGAAACAGTAAGTTCTGGCAATTCAGGTCTTAGTATTCTTAGCCTGTTTTTCCAAGCCACAGAACAGAAGCAAGTCGATCACTCGCAGTTCTCCAGCGTCAGGGCTTCGGGGCTCCCTCTCCTCGGGGCCTGGGATCTCTGTGGGAGAGGACCGCAAAGGGCCCCTGCCGACGAGCACCGGCCCCGCCGCCTGTGGAGGGGCGCTCCTGCGCCCACAAGTTATCTTCTATCAATCCCCTCCTCTGCATATCTGCCCTCCAATACCGCGTCTCGGCAGTCCTACTTTACTCCATAGCTCCATGCCTGGCGGCAGTCCTTTTAGCAGGCCTGCTAGCGATAGCTACTGATAACGCTTCTCCAGCGATGAAAGTTGCTATCAGTAGTTCACAGCTACATGGTATTAAAAAAAAAAGCCACACATACCACAGAGGAAAAAAAAATGTAAGGTTTGCAGTCATATTCTGAATATTGCTTTTTTTTAAAAAAACACTTAAGAGACATTAAAACTTAGTGTTAAAAGAACTACTCAGCAGTTTTAAAAATTGAGTTTTGGCAATAGGCTCAGAAGTACTAGTTACACACATGAAACTGAACTGCATTATTGAAAGAATACACCACTATTCAGATAAATCCATCTCACCAAGTCGCACCAGAAAAAAATACTCACGAGGTGCCTAGCACCAAAACTGCATTTACAAGTAGAGTGAATCAGCTTTTGGGATTGGGAAAGTAATTGCCTCTACTTCTAAGCAGAACTAAGCTTCTAATCTAAAACCAAAATGCCGAACACCTATTTCCAGAGAAAGTTGTTCCAGGGTCTTATCTTCTTTTAAGCCATATTTTCAGTAAGCTTCCTCAGAATAAAAAGTGTTTGTAATTCATGACCAAGGATGAGTACTCCTACCCAAAACACATTAATACAAAAAAAATCTCTGAAGCTATCAAAATGCCTGTGCGCTCAAAAGTCACCAAAGCCTTCAGCCTGGCAGACCACTAAAGCAGGCGGTCACGAGCAGCACGCCAGGCGACGAGCGAGGGGCCTCCAAAGAGATGAGGACAAGAGGAACAAAAAGGCAGACAGCATGTTTTGGATTGGGACCTGCTTTCACATAAGAACTAGTTTACATCTTTTGCCAATACTTTTCTAGTGAACTTTTAGACCAATCTCAGATTTAATGTCTCAGTAATTTGGTGGTGTGATTTTTTTTTTTTTTTTAAAAAGGAAAATTTGGCTACACTGCATAGAGTTAAGGCATTTAATAAGTTCCAGGAAAAAAAGTCTGCAGGGGAAGACAAGCAGTCTTCCCCTAAATGGTGCAGCAGAGACACCTTTCTCACGCTGTATCTTGCACACCACATTCTCACCTGTTTTTCAAACACATGCAGTATTCACAGCTGCAAACATGAGGACAGTCCCCCTGCACAACTGAGATTTGAACACAACCGAAAGAAGCCACCACTCTTCCATCCACCTTTTATGCCTGAAGTGATACTACTAAGTCTTCCTGAAAGTCAGGCCAGCATTTATGTGCTACTTGTATTCATTTCTATATTCTTCTTGTCCTTAGGCCCACAACAGCGAACGCTACTATCAGAGTAGCGAATCAAGATCCCAGAACCGCTTTCCATATAAATTCCTGCATCCATGCTGCGTATCCTGAGTAGGCACGAGTGCTGGGATTAACCAGATCAGTGCCCTTCCATCCCAGGCCAAGCTCTGAGCGGACAGAGTAGTCCTGCTTTATCTTGATGGCATGATTTAATTTCACTTTCAAAAAGTGCATCAGAATTAGATTTTATGCTAGCACAATTCCCACGTTACTCTGGCCTTTATGCACTGTAGAGTGCCCTCTACAATGAATAGCTGCTGTGAGCTGTTTCAGAAGCAGATCGCTCCAATGCTGTCTGTCCCCAGGCCATATTCCAAACATGCTGCCAAATCTTGAGGCTTTGTACTTTTCTTCAAATCCTCAGCAGCTGGTACCAAGCCCAGCTTCCATTAAAATAAATAAATTATATCCTATGGCTGCAAAATCAAAGTTACACATATAATTCAGCCCTTATGAGAAGGTCAGAAAAAATTTTCAGTCAAGTAAGTTTTTTTTAGGTGAGCATAATGAACAAATTTAAATTCTTAGTTAAGTGCAACATCCGCTGTAAAGCCAATGCCTCAGTTTGCAAATTCTTCAGTTAGAAGTGGAAAAATCATATTTACGTAGAAAACACTAATTTTAGAGATGGATTCAGTTTGATTTGGACCTCCACGTTTATGTCGAAAAAACAAAACCACACATACACAGCTAGCAACAAAAAACCCATGATGATATTGAAGTAACCTGAATGGGTCTGACCAAAAGGAGATTATAGTGGTGCACAAAGACCGCTCTGAAGCGCGTCAAGCGCAAGGCAAGAGTGACAGGCAGCAAGAGGGACAAGATAGCTGAGTGCAGTTACCCATTTCCAGAGACAGGTGGTGAAAACAACATTCCTCCACCTTGGGCACCAGATAAGCAAAACACTATTTAGTCTGAAACCCTCAAAATGAGGGTGTCTCCAAAGCCTTGGTGGCTTAAAGTGTCTTTTTTTTCCTCCCCCTCCATTTATTGTGAGGGAATCAAGGGGAAAAATAGACTTTGACTGCTAATAAGACTGCTTAGCTGCAGCTCACAATCACATATGCTTTTTTGGTGAAACAAAATATTTTAACAACACTCAGAATTCTTTATGCTGTGCATTAGGTATACTTCTCCTGTACACCTGCAACTCAAGAACAGTGCTCTTTTTTTGTTTCAAACTTCTGATAACCAAAGCATGAGAAAAGTTTTGGACAACCAGGTACAGACAGATGAAGGAAACGGGAAGAGAACTGGTAAGTCTAAGCGCAGGTCAGATTTCTGATGCAATTCACGCTTAATATACAGTAACCACACTTTAGGCAATGCGGTACCTTGTTAAGACACTTAGTATAATTTTGACTTCACTGCTGCAGAAGTTCTCTATGGAGATATGGTATTCCAAAAATATGGTAAGGGATTCTAGTAGAGATGTTTCCATATCATCAACAAGCTATGATACTGTCAAACAAGTGTTTGGTAGGCATGTGAGTACAACATACACCAATGTATACAGTCACTGAAACTACTGCTACTCCACAGCGATCAAGCAAGTGTTCTTTGCAGCGTGCAGTTCTGTAGCTCGCGAAAGCTTGCTTACTGCAGACTACTCCAAACCTTGAGGGACACTGACAGAACCGGCAATGAATAAAATGAGTGACTAATGAGCAAAACTTTGCATGAGTGGACTGAAAGACAGCAAGAAAGAAAAGGTTAATTTCTTAGTGTGAACTTCAACAGTTGGAAGTAAGTTTAACCATCATTTCCTCACATTTGTTGGCATTAAGACCATTAAGAACTATTTTAAGGGTAAATTCAAGAAGCACACAGCATTGTGCTCCACTTGGTGTTCTCACCATTGATGTCTTCAGATACACCTATCATCTTTTCAGGACACTTGTTCAAGTTCAAAACTAATTTTGAAAGCTAGATGGAAACACCGAGAATCCAAGTTTCAGAAGAAAGGCATTTATAGCTTAATTCATTTGGTATGCTAGAAAAGCAATACTTAGTTTTTAGAGATTCCATAGTCCTCAGTAATGTGTGTATTATGCCAAGTTTGAATGCACTAGGAATGAGTTTTGAACAGTCCCACTTTGGCACTGTCAAGTATCAGACTAGGCAATAATGTTTCTATGTAGCTGTGACTGCCTGCCGGTCCTAGTCACTGGGCGACCTAAGCCAACGCTGAAGCTTCACTTTTCACAACCAGTAACAAAGGGCATGTTCTGTATCCAGCTATGCGTACTGATAATCTGCATACCATTTTCCCAAGGAATTTCTTAGCAGCAGGTCATCCCAAAAGACTGCCAGAACACATGCATTTTCTTGCATTTCCCTGTTCCTGCTATTTCTTCTAGCTCTTAGCATCAAGAGTTGTTGCACCATCCACCTCATGCCTTGAGATACATTGAACCTGTCACCTAGCATCACTAATCCTGCCAGGGGGAAAAGACTCTCTACAGAGCAGACCCCGAGAGGCTGCACTGACGTTAGCAAGACATTATTGCCCAGTAGCTCTTGTCCAGCAGCCTACGTAAGGGGACTCCTCTTTTAAAAGACTAGATCTGCACTCTGTTAAGTGAAAGTGGAAAAGATGTTATCACAGACCGCAGAACCAGACAGACACCCCTGAACTAAGCCATCTCCCCTAGCTGTTTTCTTGCTGCTGCTTTACATGATCAAGTAACCTTTCTGGAAGGAACAATGAGGTATCTCAGTGTCCCCTCATTTAAATGTTTTGCTTATAAGTGAAATGCAAATTAAAACAAGTGTTATTTCTTCCCCCTCACTGGTTTGCTCATTTATGATCTACTGTAATCACTTAACTAGCCAACTCTTATGTCGTATCATTGAGTGATTTAGTCCTTCCGAGAAGCCTTATCTAAACTTGGAATATTCAAGGCACATTTAATCAACCTCCATCCAATTAGGAGATGGAGTATGATGGGTTCCCAACAGGAACAATTATCCAGCCTTGAAAGAGCAACTAGGCAAGTATTTCCGATTTTTCTTTGTTAAGACAGCATGAGAACGAATTCAGTCTCAGAATTACTGGCAGGTGCCTGGCTTGGCATGCAAGTCTACTTGAGCTCCACGCTAGTTCTGTCAAACAGGTAAGTACCTGTTTCTATAGGACAGTAAAATTTCTTCAGTTTTACAAGAAACCCTGCAGATATATTATTTAATAAAACATAATAATTGATCTCAAAAGCTTAAATAAGATAAATATTATACTGCTTTATAAAAAGAGAATACTCTGGGGGAAAGCCAAGAGGTTTATCTCCCTTCATTCTCAAATGGGAAACTACAGATTAAATCGGCAGATTAAAAAGCTCTCGACTCTCAATGACAAGCTCAAGTTACTAGACGAGTGTACTTGCTTCGTAAGAAGCAATTCAGAATCAAGTAGTGAAAAAGAAAAGCAACGAGGCCCGTTTTGTGTGAACTGAAGTAGTTTAATTGTGGGGGGCTTCTTGTTGTTGTTTGTTTTGGTTTTGGACACAATGAAGAAAAGTGTGGTTATTAGTTTTGATAAGAATTTGATTTGCACTGATCAACCACATGCTCTTCCCTGTGCAGTAGTCACACTGTGCATACCTTCCATGAGAAGGAAGCAGCACGAAGAACCATGTTAACCACAACACGGCCCGGAATAGCATAGCACATGATATGTCAGCCTATTCCTAAGGAAGTTTCTTTAATTTGGTACAGAGTCCCAAGACTTCCAATTCCAAATCAGAAAAGTGTCACCATAGAACGGCCAGATAAGGCTGCAAGCAAGAAGTATGAAACCTGCTACGCTTCCCTTTCTCCCATCCACAGAGAGGGCATCTCGCCTGATGGAGAGCCTCAGGATGCAGAAACTGAAGCCTGGCATAACCCAGCACAGGGAGAGATGCTGTCTAATTCACCAGATTTACTGAAGATGTTTATCAGCATCATTTTAAAAGCGTTTATCTGGGTGCAAGTGTGGGAAGGAAACAACCCCCCCCATTATGAAGGTTTAACACTGCACATAAAAATACAATGGAAAAATTACACTGCCTTGAATTAAAGTTCACCAACCATAGTTATATTTCAGGCAAATCTACCCAAGGTGCTATGGCATGATTACCACTCACACAAAGCTTGCGCTATAGGAGAGCGACCATCCAGGCTCCCGTGTGATGTACCAAGAGACCGTTACTCTCCTTAATCCCCTAAGCAACTGCACTAGTTGGAAAGCGACTCCGAGACTTGTGCCCCTAGAAGCACCCATATGAATACTATGCAGGAAAAACATTTCTAGGATTTCCTAAGTCTCAATAACAACCCATATTTCACTAATATTTAACGGTTTGAGTGTTATTAGCACTTTCCCCATGATGATAGGTTAGCAAAAAAGAGATGAGTCTATTTTACAGGAGCATTTTCTAACAATGCTTTTCTCTCCCTTGCAATAGCATGTGGTTAGCTTTGCTGACTTCAAACGGTCCCAAGAGATGACTGCTCACAGGAGAAGAGGCCATATTTGCTGGCAGGAGGGGGAACACCCACACTGAAATTGCACAGGAAGATTTCTCCTCTCTGTTTAGGCTAAAGTCTCCTTACTTACACCCCTGAGGCTCATGAAGTACTTCTGAAGGATCTGCAAAATGTAATTAAGTAGTCTGTCAGCAGGCTTATGACCCTGATGTTTTGCAGTGTAAACGTCGTGAACCCCTACATTTTGGGATGGAGAAACTGAAGGGATTCTGAGGGTACTAGAAGGGTTTATGTGAAATCTCTCACAGCAGAGATTTCTCTCACAAACTGGCCAAAGACCCAAGACCCACTTAGTTTGTTATCAAGCTGCTCAAGTCTGATAACAGATTCTCATCTGCATCAGAGGCCTCCAGTGAAGCCAGCGGGGAGCCGACTCGCTTCCCGGCCGCTGGCGTTGGTACTCACACGCTGGCGGGGTTTTTTTTCCCCCTGCCACTGGAAGCAGGTTGCAGAGTCGTGTTTACTGACTACACACTCGACATTTCCTGCATTATGTTTTAATTGGAAACTTACTGTTGAAAGCAGTTCAATATTAGTCATCTAAGTAAAGCAAAACTGCATGAAGTGACCTCAAGAAAAAAATCTAGTAAGTGGGATATGAATGCAAAAAACCCTAAAACCTGTCGAAGAGTTTGGAGTCTGAACCAATTAGAAGATTAAAATCTTTACTAATCCTAAAAAGTTTGCTATGTTTTTTAGAAATACTTCTTTTTATATACCAGAAAGCGTTCAAAGATATAAGAGAAAGCTATTTACATCTACCTGAATTTGATGTTCCTCTATACCCCCACACTTCTAGTACTTGCTTTGGACGTTATTACATACATCTCAGACTTGTGAAGCCTCAACTTAAACCATCCTTTTTTTTTTTTGAATCTGCTTCCTCTTTTTAAGAGCTATTTTGAGTTAAGAGAGATGAATATAGACAAATAAGTGAAGGCTAGACCTAAAAGCGGGCTTTTGGTCTGCATATCAAATCTGTATTCAAGGCCCTGCAGCTTATTTCAGTTAAATAAAGGAAACGCTTGGAACCTGAACACCATCATTGCCTCATAAGTAAAGGAAAGTGGCACGACCTGAAGCATAAAGCAAAAAAGTTGCACAAGCTTCGGTTAGAAAGGGAAGATGTGCTTTTGAAGCTTTGCCTAATGCTTGCACTTCAACAAAAAACAGAGCAGGATGCATTAGCATTATGCTGAACCAGTGTTGTACAGTATGCAAATTGTTGCCAAGCAAGCTTTAAAGCTTTTTAATTTTGTAAGCCTCTCAAGTCAAATACAGCCAATACAATGATGAAATGGTTGTCAATATTTAACAGAACAAAAAAAAAATTATGTTCTACAGAGCTTGTTAAGCAGAGATCTTGCGACAGGCCAGAGCATCATGAGACAGAGTTATATGATCACTAGGACTTCAATTTAACGCTGACAAAAAAACCCTTCAAAAATCTTTAAAGGAGTAGGAAAGAAACACTGTTTGCAGCTACTGATGAATTAGTAACGCATCTCTGACAAGCCATATCCATAACAAACACGGCTTCACTGCAGTTTCTTGCCATGAGTTCAAAGCTAACTTAATAGGGTTTTTTT